GCTGCCGCCCAATGTGACTCTAGCAGCCATTTTGGGTCAGTCAGAGCATTTTTAAGGCCCTGGCTCCCAGGTTTGGCATGCATTTTGCGAATGGTAGAGCAGGGACATTACTGACCCGGCTTGCCATTGACCTGCTCTTGGATTCTATCTATGCTTCTGCTCATCGGTTTCTGATCCTGGCTTCCTCCTGACCTCGTATCTGTCTGATGTTCTGGTACCTCTTCGCCTGCTCGTTGCTGACTCTGGCTATTACTCTGACTACGCTTCTGGCTCCAGTTTGGATCTACAGTCCTACCGAGTGCTTGTCCTGACTATCTATCAGCTATGGTTGTCACGGTGTGTTCCAGCCTCATGCTTATCAGACGTTCTGGCAAGCCACGTGCCCAGATCTTGCAGTTCCAGTGGAGTGCTTCCTTAACCTCAGTTGGTCGTTCCGGCATCTCCTCTGTTCCTGGTCGGATGCCCTGCTTGATTTACCGAGGTTACACCTCCAGGCACTCATGTTTCTCCTGTCCCTCAGCACCATCTATTCCACCTTCAGTGGGGCCTGGGTTGGAGATACAAGAGAGGCTGACCTCATCAGTTCAGACTTTTCTCAGGTACGTGACAAGTACCCTACATGGTAGGGACAGGACTAGTGGCAGGGAAAGGTTCCTGATGAGGAAGGAAAGCATAAGGCTCACAACTTCTGAAGGCATCAACTGCTTGCTCACAAGACGGCCAGGACGCATTCTGTCCCTCTCAACAGGCACCGTCAGTTTGGCTGAATCCTGCTCTCTGCACACTGTTGGACCTGTCAATGTTCCCAGCTGGGCTGCTTTTTCACCGGGTTGTTTGTCAACTGTCTTCGCATTACTCCAATACAAATTCTTTCCTCGCACCAGGACCGTGTGTGTTATTGCCGCCGCACCATGGTGCACTCCATCTACAAGCATGGTCTGGGCGCACTGAAAGCAGGCAAGAATCAGGAGATCGAAGATCTAGGGAGGAATGACTAAACATCTCCTCATCCCCCAACACTCGATCTACAAATCTGGAGGACCTGTTCCCTCAAAGGTCCCTCCAAGAATTGGCCTGCCACAGGAATTTCCTCACCCACTCTACAAGCATGGTCTGGGTACACTGAAAGCAGGCAAGAATCAGGAGTTGGAAGATCTAGGGAGGAATGACTAAACATCTCCTCATCCCCCAACACTCAATCTACAAATCTGGAGGACCTGTTCCCTCAAAGGTCCCTCCAAGAATTGGCCTGCCACAGGAATTTCCTCACCCACTCTTCAAGCATGGTCTGGGTACACTGAAAGCAGGCAAGAATCAGGAGTTGGAAGATCTAGGGAGGAAAGACTAAACATCTCCTCATCCCCCAACACTTGATCTACAAATCTGGAGGACCTGTTCCCTCAAAGGCCCCCCCAAGAGTTGGGCTGCCACAGGAATTTCCTCACCCACTCTACAAGCATGGTCTGGGTACACTGAAAGCAGGCAAGAATCAGGAGTTGGAAGATCTAGGGAGGAATGACTAAACATCTATTTATGCGCCTAGTCTACAGCATATCTGAAGACTGTTTTTGTCTTTACCCCACAGCCGTGAGGAACCTGGGCTGTATCTCAGTTGTTTTACCAATAAAGAAAAGGATTCTTCACTTTGGAAAGTGTTTGACCACCTATTTTGCTGCTCCTCATCCCCCAACACTCAACCTACAAATCTGGAGGACCTGTTCCCTCAAAGGCCCCTCCAAGAGTTGGCCTGCCACAGGAATTTCCTCACCCACTCTACAAGCATGGTCTGGGTACACTGAAAGCAGGCAAGAATCAGGAGTTGGAAGATCTAGGGAGGAATGACTAAACATCTATTTATGCGCCTAGTCTACAGCATATCTGAAGACTTTTTTTTGTCTTTACCCTACAACCGTGAAGAACCTGGGCTGTATCTCATTTGTTTTACCAATAAAGAAAAGGATTCTGTTCCCTCAAAGGTCCCTCCAAGAGTTGGGCTGCCACAGGAATTTATTCACCCACTCCGAAATCAGAATAAGATCCAAATTAGTTTTGCAGCTGAAGCCCAGCGCCATATCTGTAGGCAGGTGCAGTCTATTATCTTCTCTGCAGGTGGAGCTCAACTGCAGCAGCACTGAAGATGGAGAGGAAGCCAAGAGGGACATGGTTCTTCTAAGGCATGGGTGTCAAACTGGTGGCCCTCCAGCTCTCGCCAAACTACAAGTCCCATGAGGCCTTGCAAGATTGACAGCTACAAGCATGACTCCCAAAGGCAGAGGCATGATGGGACTTGTAGTTTCGCAACAGCTGGAGGGACACCAGTTTGACACCCCTTCTCTAAGGTTTCCTGGGTCGCTGGGGAAGCTATCCAATAGGATGCTGCAACCCCATGTGGCTCTAGTGGACATCTTAGGTCAGGAAGAGCCTATTTAAGGCCAGGTCACCCATCTGACAGGGACAGTAATAGTGGTGGCGAGAGGTTCCTGATGAGTAGGGAAGGAGCAGAGACACACTATCCTTCCTAAAAGCCTCCCAGTTTGGGCTTAAAACCGGCCAGGCCGCATTCTATCCCTTGAGACAGATGCTGTTGGAACATCCGAGACCTGCTCTCCAGACCTCATTTTCTGCAACATCCCATGAGTGCTCCCAGTCAGGTTGCCTTCTCGTTGGGTAGTTGTGTTTGTTTGGGGTTTAACTACAATACAGTTGCACCGTGTTGCACCTTCCCACACATTCACAGCTGAAGAAGAAGGACGAGGGTACTGGAACAAAAATTTGGAGAAAACAAAAGCAACTACAGTAAAAGCACTCTGAGAGAAGGAAAAGGATATAATACAGCAGAGGAACACAGGGAAGCAATCTCTAATGACAGCAATTCTGCCGAAGTACAGAAGTGTACCAATCTCGAGGCACGCACCGCTTCACATTTCTCAATGTCTAATCCTGAAAGAATAAATCAGACTGCTATACTGACACCAGGGCTCAGGAATGAATTCTGAAGAGCAGGAGAACCAGAGAGGACTGCAGGAGAGGTAGACCTCAGGACCCCAGAAAACGAGAACAATGGTATGAAGAACAGAGGACCCAACAGCAGGAAACTCCAAGGGCCAACCACCAGCCAAGTACCCAACACACCTGGCCAGGCAAAGGTACAGTAGATTCCTGACAGAATTCAGCCATTTTAATTCCTGCATTTAAATGTAGTGAAATAAGGTTTGTTTATTTGTGCTAATAAAATACTGAATATTACCCAATCACTAAGAAAGTATTTTCCAATATTTGTATCCAGGCATTATGATCCTTGTTCAGGCACTTCCTGATATAGTGTAACAACGCTCTCTGTCAGGGATCCCGATCTTCACCGCGGCGCGTGAATCCGCACAAGCGCAGATCGCCCAGGTACATCAGCGGGCGGGCAGTAGGACCTGGTCGTCCGCGGCGGCAATTGCAGCCGCGCATGCGCACTTGCGCACACAGGCGCGCGCCTGGCACCAATAATGGTGCAGGCGTGCTATTTAAACTGGCCAGGCAATGTCCTCATTGCCGCAAGGTCTTGTTCCTGTTCCTGTGTTCCTGTAAAGTACGTTTCCTTGTTGCCAAACTCTGCCTGTCCTGACTTATGCTGACCCTCTCCTGCTCTGACCCCCGGCTCGTCCCTGACCATTCCTCTGCCTTTTCACCAGAGCCCCTGATGGTGGGGATGGACTTGGTGCAAGACTGGAACCAGGTCGCGCCCCTGGGCGCACCCAGCTATGGTAGAGGGGTCCCGCTGAGGGTATGTGCCCGGGATGAGCCTGCTGTGAAGGGGCTGACGGGTCCAGGTCCGAGCGGGATGGATGGATGACCGCTAGGAGTGAGCGTGGTCAGACTAGCCGGGTCGGTAACAGTGGGGACAGGTGCGGTACCAAGCAGTAGGCAGGAGGAATGGTCAGGGACGACCAGGTCCTACTGCCCGCCCACTGATGAACCTGGGCGATCCGCGCATGCGCGGATTCACGCGCCGCGGTGAAGACGGGGATCCCTGACACTCTCTCTCTCTTCACTGTCACCCTATTACATGGGATTCCTATAGAGACTACAAATAGTTGTTGCATCACCCAGGGTTCTCATGGATTCAGGTTGAGGAGCTCCAGAATGTCCGCTCTTAGTGGAGTAAATTGGTGTTTACGTTTTCTGGGTTTTGTAACTTCCAGATTGAGTCTTGAAGCTTCGATAAGTCTTGGAAAGTAGAAAGCCTCTAACTCAGGTTCAGGTGTGCAGAGCCCTTAAAATCAAGGGCCTGACAGCAGTTCAGGGCTTCACCTGGGAGACAGGATTGTGAAGAACCGTCCCTTTGTGATAACATTTTGCCCTTTCCATTCCAGTTTTATCTTCTTGTTAAGTGGCCTTCAATGAGTCTTGGAAGGTAAGAAGCCTCTAACTCTGGGTTCAGGTGTCACCAGAGACCAACAGGCTGAGTGTTCAGGTGTGCACAGCCGTTATAATCAAGGGTCTGACGGTAGGCCAGGGCTCCACCTGGGAGACAAGAGGTCCTCTGATGTTGTAATTCCAGGATTGAGTTATGGTGTCCAGAGGATTCAGAGAGTCTTGGAAGGTAAGAAGCTTCTAACCCTGAGTTCAGGTTTTACCGGAGACCAGCAGGCTGTGTGGGCATGTGTGCTCGAGCCTTATAATCAAGGGCCTGACAGGGCTTCACCTGGGAGACAGGAGGTCCCCTGATTAGAGGCCAGGACATGGGCCAGTGCATATGGAGCTGCAAGAGTGGGTGAGAGAGGGGCAGAGTTTGTAGGTGAGCACAGTGGTGCTGTGAATCAGTCTGAGGGACCAGACCAAAGGCCTAAGCCTGAGGCCTAAAGCCTTTTGTGTTTGAAGTGATGGTGGAGACCCCTGTAAGAGTAACCTTTTTGATTTTCTTTGTAAATTTTACTTCTCCTTTAACCACCTCCCGTCCGCCCGTTGTATATAAATGGCCAGACAGTGGCAGTGCAGGGTTGGTTGGCCGTTTATAAATGGCCTCCCCACCCCCTGATTGTGCGCGCTCCCTGGGAGAGTACAGCACCGCGATCCCGTGCCCGCTGTGTCCTCCTGATCATGTGATCACTGATTGACCAATAAGATTGACATGCAGAGTAGTAAGAAAGATGTCACTTCTGACATCATTGCTTACTACGTGTGAAATCTGTGAATGATCACAGAGGTCACATGGTACAGGGCCATTCACAACGGCCTTGTACCATGTGACAAGCTGTGACCAATCACAGCTCACACAGTATTTCTCAGTGGCTGCAAGAATGCAGCCAGAGAGAAGGAGAAATGATTACTTTAACAGCCTTTATGGGTATAAAAGCAATAAGTGTAAAAAAAAAAAAAAAAAATTTTAATCACCCCCCACAAGTAGTACAGTGTCACCATGGTGACACTGTACTGCTAAGGTGACAGTATGTAAAAAAAAAAAAAACACACATAAATAATAATATAAAAAAATAAAATAAAAATGGAAAAAAAATGTTTAAATATTATAATTTTTGGTTATAAACGAATTTGGGTTATTTTTTTTTTTTTACTTAAAAGATAACGGAATATATTTTGGCCAAGATTTATGATAAAATATTATTTATTTGCAAAATTTTATAAGAAAAACACTTTTTTTCAAAATTTTTGGACTTTTTCATTTACATAGCAAAAAAAAAAAAATCCCAGCGGTGAATAAATACCACCAAAATAAAACTTTATCTGTCTCAAAAAAATTCAAAAAAATTCATCTGGGTACAGTGTTTGCATGACCGCGCAATTGTCATTCAAAGTGTGATAGCGCTGAAAGCTGAAAATTGGCCTGGACAGGAAGGGGGGGAAAGTGTCCGGACTGGAAGGGGGTGAAAGTGTCCGGACTGGAAGGGAGTGAAAGTGTCCGGACTGGAAGGGGGGGAAAGTGTCCGGACTGGAAGGGGGTAAAAGTGTCCGGACTGGAAGGGGGTAAAAGTGTCCGGACTGGAAGGGGGTAAAAGTGTCCGGACTGGAATAGGGTAAAAGTGTCCGGACTGGAAGGGGGTTAAAAGTGTCCGGACTGGAAGGGGGTAAAAGTGTCCGGACAGGAAGGGGGGGGAAAGTGTCCGGACTGGAAGGGGGTGAAAGTGTCCGGACTGGAAGGGGGTAAAAGTGTCCGGACTGGAAGGGGGTAAAAGTGTCCGGACTGGAAGGGGGTAAAAGTGTCCGGACTGGAATAGGGTAAAAGTGTCCGGACTGGAAGGGGGTAAAAGTGTCCGGACTGGAAGGGGGTAAAAGTGTCCGGACAGGAAGGGGGGGAAAGTGTCCGGACTGGAAGGGGGGGAAAGTGTCCGGACTGGAAGGGGGGGAAAGTGTCCGGACAGGAAGGGGGGGAAAGTGTCCGGACTGGAAGGGGGTAAAAGTGTCCGGACTGGAAGGGGGTAAAAGTGTCCGGACAGGAAGGGGGGGGAAAGCGTCCGGACTGGAAGGGGGGGAAAGCGTCCGGACTGGAAGGAAGGGGGAAAGCGTCCGGACTGGAAGGGGGGGGGGGGGAAAGCGTCCGGACTGGAAGGGGGGGGGGAAAGCGTCCGGACTGGAAGGGGGGGGAAAGCGTCCGGACTGGAAGGGGGGGGGAAAGCGTCCGGACTGGAAGGGGGGGGGGGAGCGTCCGGACTGGAAGGGGGGGGGAAGCGTCCAGACTGGAAGGGGGGGGGGGGAAAGCGTCCGGACTGGAAGGGGGGGGAAAGCGTCCGGACTGGAAGGGGGTGATAGCGTCCGGACTGGAAGGGGGGAAAGCGTCCGGACTGGAAGGGGGGGGGGGGGGGGAAGCGTCCGGACTGGAAGGGGGGGGGGAAAGCGTCCGGACTGGAAGGGGGGGGGAAGCGTCCGGACTGGAAGGGGGGGGAAGCATCCAGACTGGAAGGGGGGGGGAAGCGTCCGGACTGGAAGGGGGGAAAGCGTCCGGACTGGAAGGGGTGAAAGCGTCCGGACTGGAAGGGGGGGGAAAGTGTCCGGACTGGAAGGGGGGTGATAGCGTCCGGACTGGAAGGGGGGAAAGCGTCCGGACTGGAAGGGGGGAAAGCGTCCGGACTGGAAGGGGGGAAAGCGTCCGGACTGGAAGGGGGGGGAAAGCGTCCGGACTGGAAGGGGGGGGAAAGCGTCGGGACTGGAAGGGGGGGAAAGCGTCCGGACTGGAAGTGGTTAAATAAAAGTATTTCCTGGCTGGTCTGAAGTCAATGGAAAGCTCTACACCTTGAGTGACACCCCAACCCTCATTACACAGACATAATCCACTGTTGTCACCATCGGGAAACCTGACCTGAAAAACAACCTACAGGCATTGCTTGCTGCAAAGAGGCTGCAGGAGATCAGAAGGAGAGATAAAGGATAAAGAATTTATGAATAAAATTAAATTCTTTCCGAGACGCAGAGAATCCAGTTAAATGCAGGTAAAAATATTCCAATGAATCCTCTGTAATTATCGGGTAAAAACATATTCAGCTGTTCTATGTCCGGCCAAAGTATATCAGACTCCGAATGTTTTTTTTCCAAGCGCCTTATAATGGCATTGTTGGATCGTACATTTGATCCAGACAACCATTAAATAAAATATGATGTCATTGGCTGTCGGTGGAATAATCCGTACCGCTGATGGATGGAAAGCCAACAACGTCCCGCCCCTCACAGGGACCTATAGAGGGGGAACTATATGGAGCGCCTTATATTGGAGTTCCGCCGTACTTAATGACTCTTAAGAATAAATTAAGTCCTTTAATTAAAACCGTCATAATCGCGCGAACTTCCAAGAAACAATTAGATTTACATTTATGCAATGACCAGAAATTCCGAAAAAAAAAAAAAAATACATTTAAGAGGAGCGAAGAAAATGAGATTCTGGCTGCTGGCAAAGGAAAACGCTGATTCTAAAACATCTTTTTTTTTTTTTCATCTAAAATGTGCATTTTAATTGTACTTCTTGTGAGGATGAATAGGCGCATGTTTTTATTTGTATTTAAAATTTTATAACGGCGGTCGCTGAAAACCGATCATGGCCTAAAAAGCAGCGCAAATGACTTTCCTCGTTCTGGCCGTGAGTTCTGGAGACGTCAGAGGAATTTTAATCGCGGTTCACGATGGGACTGTTCAAAATCACAGTGTAGCTGTGGAAAGAAATGGCGGAACGTTTGCCGCTTAAAAGTCGCACACGTGTGGAAGAGAAGGTATAGCCACGCCCACTCTCTGGCATGTCAGAGCGAAGGCAAAATGAAGGGGGGCTTATGGAGGTTTCTAAGAGTGCTATGGGGTGCAAATGGCTCCTGAGGGTTAGTGCAGCTTAGTGCAGCACAGCGGCTAAATGGTTAGCACTTCTGCCTGGCAGTACTCGGGTCATCGGTTCAAATCCCAACCATGACACCACCTGCCTGGAGTTTGCATGTTCTCCCTGTGCCTGCGTGGGTTTCGTCCGGGTACTCCAGTTTCCTCCCACACTCCAAAGACATGCTGGTAGGTTAACTGGATCCTGTCTAAATTGTCCCTAGTATGTGTGTGTATGAATGTGAGTTAGGGACCTTAGATTGTACGCTCCTCGGGGGCGGGGACTGATGTGGATGTACAATATATATGTAAAGTGCTGCATAAATTGACAGCACTATATAAGTACCTGTAATAAATAACTTGCCCTGGACCTGTTTGTGTGCCAAAAGTTATGTGATTATCAGGGGTGGACTGACAACTCATGGGGCCCCCAGGCAATAGGGGATCATGGGGCGCCTGTGTCCTTGCCCACGCTCAAAAAAGCCTATAAAAAAGGTACCAGGGGCATTTCTTGGGGCCCCCTACTGACTCCGGGCCCTCGGGCAGTGCCCGAGTGCTTGAATGGTCAGTCTGCCCCTGGTGATTACCATGCTTGTAGGCAGCTGCAGTCTACTTTCTCCAAAGCAGATGGCGCTCAAGCACAGCAGCACTGCAGGGGGAGAGGAAGTCATAAGAAACAGGTTCCTCTATGGCAGGTGTGTCCAAACTATGGCCCTCCAGCTGTTGAAGTACTACAAGTCCCATCATGCCTCTGGGTGTCTTGCCTGTTGCTGTCAGGGTCTTGCAAGGCCTCATGGGACTTGCAGTTCCTCAACACCTGGAGGGCCATAGTTTGGACATCCCTGCTCTATGGTTTCTTGGGTTTCCGGGGAAGCTATCCGATTGGATGCTGCCACCCCATGTGACTCTGGTAGCCATCTTGGGTCAGGCAGAGCCTATTTTAGGCCCTGGCTCCCAGGCTTGGCACGCTTATCGCGTGTGGGTAGTGTAGGGAACGGTACCCCATCTGACAGGGACAGTGATTAGTGGCAGGGAGAGGTTGCTGATGCGGAAGGAAAGGATAGGGACATGCCATCCTTCTGTAAACGTCCCCATTTGGGCTCAGACTTCCCAGGCCGCATTCCGCCCCTTGAAAAAGACGCTGTCGGCACATCTGAAACCTGCTATACATCGCTGATACAGCTGTGAGTATTCCCGGTCGGGTGCCTTTCCACCAGGTTTGTTGTGAATTTCTGGATTCTGCATTAATACAAGTTCTCTTCTCTGCAAGCGGACACTGTGTGTTTACTGCCGCCGCACCACACTGCACCTCCCCACATGCTGATCAACAATTCATGTCACCCAATAATGGGGAACTTAACCGCTCCTAAATTACCTCCCCCTGTCCCTCTTTAGTGCCAGAATTTGTAAAAAAAAATAATGCATTTACAGATGTGCCGCCGGTCTCTTCCCGGCATTTAGGAGCTAACCAAGACCAGTGGCACATCTGCGCATGCACAGCAGATTTCCGCACGTGCACACCAATGCCGCCAGCTTCTGGTGGATGGGAACTGTAGTAAACTGCAGCATTTGTGAGCATGCGCTGAAATTCTCTGAACATGCGCACATGCACCACAGCCTGGTCACCCAAACCGTACTCTAAGCTCCCCGCACGACCTCCTGCTCTCTAGCTCTATGCTCGTCTCCAGGACTTCTCCAGAGCTTCCCCCATCCTCTGGAACTCTCTACCCCAATTTATCAGACTATCGCCTACTCTGCTCACTTTTAGGTGATCTCTGAAAACCAATCTCTTCACGGAAGCCTATCCTGCCCTCAGCTAATAACGAATCTTCTACTCCTCCTACCAGTCCATCCCCCACAGTTATTACCTTTTGTACCACTAGCCCCTCCCTCCTAGATTGTAAGCTCCCAGGATCAGGGCCCTCCTATCCCTCTTGTATTGATCTGTATTGTTGCTGTATTGTCTCCCGTTATATTGTAAAGCGCTGAGCAAACTGTTGGCGCCATAAATCCTGTATAATAATAATAGTAACACACTGACTCCTGGGATAGCTGTAACGTAGCTATTTCCAGGGGCAGCGGGGCCTGGCCTTGGCTGGAAACCCAGAAGTGATGCAAAAATCCATCCACGTCCCATAAGACCAGGTCAGCCAGGACCCACCCCCTAGCCTATGACTGGTCAGTGAAAGGAGAAGCATCACAGTGGTGAGCTCATCTGTCACTCTGTTCTCTCCTCCTATCAGCATGCTTATTGTCAGCACATCACACTGGCTCATCCCTTTCCCAGTCTTAGCTCTGCTGTACAGAGACTGCAAACTGGGTCAAATTCAGGAACTTATACTGCATGCAGTTAAAAATTAAATTATGTCATTTTAATTATAGATGCATTCATTTGTGTATTTTATATCCGGAGTTTGGCTTTAAGCTCATTGTTAGGCATGTGCATCGTGACGTCTACATTTCAGGTCATTGTAATTAGCATTGGCTTTCTGCTGATGACACAAAGGTGTCTAATGGGGGCTGATATTCCTGCAGGTGTTTAGAACGTGATTTGGCATTGCTGGAAAATAGGTCAAAGAAGTGCCAACTGCAATTCGATGTTTCCAAATGTAAAATAATGCAAAAAGGAAAAAAAAGAATTCTCTATTGAGGTCAGTGATAACCAGAACTACAGAAGGAAAAGATTTGGGGTGCTCATTGCAGAATGAGCAGAGAGGCTTGGCAGTGTGAAAAGAGAATAGAATTTTGGGGCACATCATTGGGAGGAAGGAGGTCCTGATCCCTCTATATAGATCCTATCACTAGAGGGGTCACCAGCAGGAGGAAGGAGGTCCTGATTCTTCTATATAGATCTTTATATCACTAGAGGGGTCACCGGCTGGAGGAAGGAGATCCTGATTCCTCTATATAGATCTTTATATCACTAGAGTAGTCCCCGGCAGGAGGAAGGAGGTCCTGATTCCTCTATATAGATCTTTATATCACTAGAGGGGTCACCGGCAGGAGGAAGGAGGTCCTGATTCCTCTATATAGATCTTTATATCACTAGAGGGGTCACCGGCAGGA